CTTCAGATATGTTCTGAGTTCCCGGAAAGGATACAGCGAAACGCACCCTTGTTCCGCCGATAATGGATGAGGAGAGTCTGGAAGCGTCCATTCAGGCCTACAACGCCCAGCTGCAGCAGGTGGAGCTGGCTTTGGGGGCAGGCCTGGACCCCTCGCAGCACTCGGACTTGGTTCAGCTGCAGGAAGATTTAAAGCAGCTGATAGAACTGACTGAATCCAGCCTGGTGTCCGTGAAAAAGAGCAAACTTCTGGCCACTTTAGATACGAATGCGACCTCCTCTTCCTCCCCAGTAGGCCTCTTGGAGCAGGACACCAACCCAGACAGTTCTTCCCAGGATGAGGAGTACGCAGCTTTTAAGGAAGCCATCGCCGAGCTTGGAACCCATGAGGAGCCTTCAGCTAAGACCGATGAGCTATCAAAGAGAAGTCCAGAAACTGATGAGAAAAAGTACAGTGAGGCAGAGGAAGCATCTGACAGAGAGGAGGAGGAGGAGGAGGAGGAATTGAGTGGGATGAAGGTTAAAGCCCCCTACTACAGTTCTTGGGGGACTCTGGAGTACCACAATGCCATGATCGTGGGGACAGAGGACTTGGAGGATGGCAGTGCAGGCGTCAGAGTGCTGTATCTCTACCCGACTCACAAGTCTCTGAAGCCGTGCCCGTTCTTCTTGGATGACAAGTGCAGATTTAAAGAGAACTGTCGGTAAAAAAGAGAAAGGCGAGGGAGGGGGGCGTACGTCCTTCCCGTAGCTAGCGGCCTTGTCCTTCAGAGGGATTAACCTCCTCCGAACCTACTGTGTTTGGCTTTTTTACCCAATGAAATTTTACCTTTGTGTTTTTAGAATATGGTGAGCCATGGCATCAGTTGGGCTGTTTTCTTTAGCCCGTGCAGAGATGAAATGGAAAATCCTGTGGGGAAAACTCGAGATTTTTACATAGTCACTCGAGTGGCTAAATTAGGAACCGATTGTTTTAAAATAAAACGCTAGAGCTTGTCTGTCGATAGTGCATCTGTGCCAGTGGCAGGGAGAGGTTGTAGAGTCTCCATCTCTGGAGATCTTCAGAGCTTGACTAGAGAAGGCCTTGAGCAACCTGATCACTCTTTGAAGTTGGTTGTGCTTTGAGCAGGAGGTTGGCCTGGAGACCTGCATGTCTGTGAGGTCCTGTGTGTCTCAAAGGACCTGTGAATTTTTTTTCTGGATGTGTCAGTAGTGAGGAGAGCTTAATTCTCTGGGGTAGGATGCATTCTTTTGTTGTGTGACATAAATAGCTTGTTTGAGATGAAAAACCTGTGTCATTGAAACAACACATGATAAAACTTCTGTAATTACTGGTTAAGATTCATCCCCGCTGACACCTTGTTTGCATTCCCTTTAAGGAGGGAAAAGGAGTTTTTATTTAAAGCCCGCTCAAACGAGGTAGAGCTCATTCCTCTTTCCCCTCACAGGTTTTCGCACGGCCAGGTGGTCTCCATGGAGGAGCTTCAGCCGTTTCAGGAGCCCAACCTGAGCACGCTGGAGGTGGGCTCGGCCTGCCTGGCCAAACACAGCGATGGGATATGGTACACGGCAAAAATAACGGGTGAGTCGCCTTTCGAGTGTGCTTTGCCAGGATTCAGTGTGGGAGATGAAGGCTGAGTGGTTATAGCTTGACTTGGTTCATGATAGAAAAAAAACGTGAACTGTGGAGTTGGAATCCTGAACAGAAAAATCTTGATATGTCTGAGAAAACAGTTGGAACAGTTTTGGGCTTGGGAAGGGAATGGGCTCGGAAACAGGAGAGTGTTAGACCAAAAAGAGATTTGAATGGAAAGGAAGCGGCCAAGCGGTGATTAACTGCGCCCAAAAGGAAGAGGCAGGTATTGCAGGAATTTGTGGGCATGTTAGTTTGGAATTGCAATAATCTGCTCTTATTTAAACAAAAGCTGGGGGAGCTGTCCCTGCCCGTGAGCTGCTGACACAGGCTTCCCGGGCCCTGTGAAGGACAAGGGTTTATCCTCTCTGTCTGTCTTTGTCTGTTATTTGGGTAGTGGGGAGCAAGTCTAACTTCAGCTCCATTTCTCAGCAGCTGGTCTGTCTTCAGCTTTAGAAACTAAGTATCAACCCAGGCTTTGTGGAAATAGCTTTTTGTTGCAGTGAGTGCTTCTCCCTCCCTGCCAGACATCTAAAGCACAAAGAAAAAACAGATTTTTTTATATTTTTTTTTTAAACACGTGGTCCTTGGGCCTTTCCCCTCTCCCTTGTCATTCTACTGGGCCCAGCTCTGTTTCAGAAAACTCTGCCAGCTGTGTGTTGGTGACTTAGTGGATCTCTGCTCCTTGCTTTTCCTCCTGCAGACATCGACAGTGGCTACTACACGGTGAAGTTTGATTCCTTGCTGCTTAAGGAAGCCGTCGTGGAAGCAGATAGTGTCATTCCCCCGCTGCGAAGTGAAGACGCTGCCGAATCTGCCGAGTCTGATGAGGACAGCGTTGATGATTCCGGTTACGCTAAAGGTAAGAGAGTGGGGATGGCGTCAGCAGAGGTGAGTTCTGATCTAGGTCTGCCTTTCTCTGGGACCTGCTGAGTTACGCTTTTGGAGCATTCAGGGTAAGTGTCTCGCCTCTGATGAAGGAGTAGCTTATCTCTTCATGTGTTGCTGAAAGCTAGAGAACAGTCGTTAGCTATTACGCTGCAATTGCAAACTAAAAATCTTTGTTTTATGCAAATTACTGGGCAAATGAAGGTTGGGGGTTTCCATGGGGACTTCTGACACATGAAAGAAGAAGACGTGGTATTTTAGAGCCGAGTTCCAAGCTCTGTGTCTGGTTTTTTTTGTGTGTGGCTGGCTGAGTTGAGCTAATAAGTGAATTGAGAGACCCCCTCACCTCTGGGAGCTCCATGTAGCCCCGTGACACAAGAGTACGAGACCCCAGTAACTGTGTTTGGGCCTTGATGTGCCTCGATGAGGTCACAGGAACAGCTGTGCCCTGGTTTAGTAGTGAAAGCTGGAACAGAGAGAGCTCAAGTGACTACTTTGAGATTGCACGGACAGCGCTGTCCCTGTGCCAGTGCCACGCGTACGCCACAGGGACAAAGTTGTGTCCTAGAGCTCTTTACATTTAGAGATTATTGGATCCTAATAACATAAAATTAGCGTTGTGGCCTGGAGGAACCTCGTGAAGGAGACACGAGCTGGAGGCACAAAGTGTTACCTGCTGCTGTGCCAGGTTTGGTTGTGATGGTATGTGTCAGTCTGGGGCACCTTCCCAGAAGGAAGAGAATCATAAAAACTTCTGCATGATCCTGCCTGGAACTGAGGTGGCGTGTGTATTAAATCGAGTGAGATCTCTCATTCAGGTGATTATTATGGGCTGTTCATAAGAGGTGACAGCTCAGTAGGATCTAAATAAGGATGAAAGCGTGGATGGATGACCTCTGGAGGTCCCTTCCAACTCTGACCATTCTGTGGGTGCAAGCAGTATAGTGGATGGCTTCGTGATGGGGTTTCATGCTCCGTGGGTGCCTCAGGTGACACTTTTGTGTAGCTGCTTTGTTTCTGTGTGTCACTGATTCTTCCTTTCTATGCCACAGTGATAGATTCCAGAGTTCCGGAGAATGGGGAATGGACTCCTGCGTGCAGTTCCTCTTTCGGTGGCTGGGAAGCCCACACTCGTGGTATTGGCTCCAAACTGCTTGTTCAGATGGGATACGAGTTTGGGAAAGGTAAGGGGAGAAGGCACAGCCCTCGTGCTGAGAGCTCAGCTGCCTCATGGGTCCTGAAGCTAGTTAAGAAGAAGATTTTGGGTAAAGCTACAAAACTTCTCAGTGCTGAAGGACCTGTTGGATAAGGCTCAAGCCACGGGGTGAATCCCAGCTTTGTTAGAAGGCGAGAAGGGATAACTTGTTTAATTGAAGTACAGGTGTATGTGTGCACCAGCCCCGGTGTGGTAATCGCAGAAATCGGAGGCATTTGGGACCATGGTCAAGTTTGTGATTAAAGCCGTGAGAACTATTGTATGAGATGTTCAAAGGCTTTAGGTAGAAGGGAACTGATCTAGGAAGCTTCTGATGTGTGTGTTAAAGCATCTCCTGGCTCTAGACGCAGACTTCAAAGCCTTTTTTGCTTCTCACTACACAAATTGCGCTGAGCCTTGGGGGTTTGGGAGGGCAGCCTGCTGCTCGCATTTCTCTCTGGTTCTCCCAGAGGAACCAAACCAGTTTTAAGAAGAACCTGGCCTGAGAAGCTGAGAGTGTAAGGCTGAACCTAGTTTCGCAGAAACCGGCCTGACAGATGGCCTCGAGCTTTTTGTTGCAGATCTTTGCCGTAGAAGTCTCCTGGTGCAGTGTCTGCACCTGCTGTGCTGCGGCCTTTGCTGTTCCCCTTGGCTCAAGGCAGCAGTTGGGGCTTTTTGTACCTCAAAAGCCCGTCAGCGGGAGCTTGTGGTGTGAGATGACTCGCAAGGGAATGTCCTCGCTCGAAGTAATCACTTGGTGTCTCTCCTCAGGGTTAGGGAAGAATTCTCAAGGCCGAGTGGAGCCGGTGCAGGCCGTGGTGCTTCCCCGAGGGAAATCCCTCGACGAGTGTGCTGAGGTGCTTCAGAAGAGGAAGCAGGGGAAGCTGGACCCAGGCAAATCGAGGAAAGGCCGAGCAAAGGGAAACAACTCTGGACAATCCTCTGCAGGCAGCCGTAAGCCTCCCCGCAACGTGTTTGACTTTTTGAATGAGAAACTGCGAGGGAAGAGCTCTGGGGAGAAGGCTGGAGGGATGGCGCTGCCCGAGAGGAACAGCAAAGAGATCTACCGTGCCAGCAAGAGCACCAGGAAGGCCCTGAGCGTCCGCCTCTTCCAGACAATGGAGAAGATTGAACAAACACAGAAGGATATTATAGGAATCCAGCAGGCCCTGGAACGCAACATTGGACGGTAGGAAAACGTTCTCTCTGGGGCTGCAGGATGAACTGAGAATTCTTGGCGCTTCTAGGAAGGGGTGGGCTTGAAATGAGGTATAGGGGGAACAAAGTGAAACAGATCTGGGATCTGGGTGAGACCTAAGGGGAGGTGGAGGAGACGGACTTCAGTGCGCGCTTCACACCGGCTTGGCCTGCTGTGTCTGGGGTCCTTTGCCTGGAATTCTGGCTGTGACAAATAGAGGAGCTCTCTGAGGGAAGGTACCAGAGGCCTTTCCTTCTCATGCCCATCTCCAGCGCGTTGCCATCGAGCAGCACGGGAGGACGTTTCCTAGCCCAGATAATGCTGGGCAGCAGGTTGTTCTTGGCGTTCAGTTTGCGCTAAACCTGCAGGGAAGGACAAACCCTCCTGGGGTGACGACCAAGCCTTTGATCTTATCGCACAGGGTGGCATCGCTGTAATGGTTTTTTTTGCTTTCAGGCACAGCGTTGCTGCGGCTCAGCTGGAGAAGAAGCTGGCTTGGAACAGCTGGGGCGGTTGCGTACCGAGAAAGCCAGTCTGCAGCGGGAGCAGAAGAAGGCAGACACGCATAAGAAGATGACTGAGTTCTAGTCTCCAAGGAAGGTGGTTTGACTGCAGCAACTTGTCCTTCTGGCCAGCCTCGGGGTTAGCGGCCTCAGAGCCTGGGCGAGCCGTCCTGCTCCTCCGGGATTCAGGCTGCCCAGCCTGAAAACTGGGCTGAAAAGCAGCAGCAGTTTCCAAAACTAGATGTTTCTGAGCTCTGCAGGGAGGGGGAGCAGTACACATCCGTCCAGCCCTGAAAGCGTTCCGTGAGCCTGAGCCTCGTGTAAGGACTGGCTACAA